AGGGGCAAACTATATGCAAGGGGGAAACTATGTTCAAAATGTTGGATCTTCAAGCCCAGAGTGGGGGGCTGTGGGAGGGGCCTAGGGGGCAGGTGTCCAGCACCCCAACCCCTGGATGTTCCCTGGGGTTGGACTCAGGCCAGCCCCCGAGTGGCAGGGCAGACTCAGCACTAAAGTTAGTGCTGGGTCGCATCTACATGTGCATTATTGTGCATTAACTAATTGCACCTAAAGTTAATACCTAAATTTGATATGTGATTAGCCTAAGTTAATGTGCATTAAAGGTGCACACATGTAGATACACACCTGTAATGCACATTAATGTAGGATAATGCACATTAAAGCATTTATTTCATACTACACATTTAATAAGCATCAGATGCTAATAATGCCTCAGAGCATAGGTCCTGTGTTAGATTCCCATTGTTGACCTAGATGTGAAAATAGCAGCAATCTATTCACATTCCCATGGTTAAGCCATCTCCCAGGCACTCTGAGGGTTAAACTAGAAGTGATGTAGTTGTTAAAATCTGGTAGACATTATAGTCAGGCTCCCAGAGCCCTAGATACACCCATTCAGTGATGCATAACATCTTATGACGCACAGCCTGTCTACACAATAAAAATACCTAATTTGGCAGACTGGGTTACAACACAGTTGTCTCCAACCCAGTTAGAGTACAATTAAAATTCATAATATGAATATGACTTACGTTGTAAACAGATCACATTAATAGACTTGTCTTTTTCATAATGATACTTTCTAGTTATAGCAAAGTTAGCCCCCATCTGTAATATAAGTCTTCACTGTGTTGAAACAATATGAAAGGTGAAATGTGATTTAATCAGGTCCAGGCCTTTGTACTCTGAGAAGCCAAAAGAAAATGCATGTCAAATAAGGAGGTGGTGAACTTTAACTTATACCTTCCTACAGCCTTCTGTCAATATCTTTCTTACCATATACTCCTTTTTTTACTGGTTTCTATCAAACCCCCTTATAATCTGGCCACATAAAGACATTCAGCTTCTACTGAAAGAGCGAGTGCTCACTACGTAGAAACCATGAGTGTACAGATATTCAGGATGTCTCTCCCAGAGCAAAAAATGGCCTCTGTCAGAGGAAAATAATCAGGGAACAACCAGTATTAAATTGCTGCTGATGGAATTTCTCCTGGATGGGTGACTATCTGTACACTTTGCCTTCTGAGAGGAGCTGCACCACAGTCCTCCAACATACCAAGGTGCTTTCATGTTTATGTAGTTTAAGCTGAGGAAATAGTGCAGAAGCTTCAAGGCATGGGGCCTCTTACTGGTTCCTTGTCTGCATGGGTGCCTGTAGACATGCAGGGACCCTGCTCCAATGCACTGTAGGAGCAGACTTTATTAATCAAGTCTGCTGCAGCATGCTAAATTAGCACACTCCAACAGCCTCCCCGTCCCATGTATTCAGCATCACCACACTTCAAAATGGTGGCGGGGCACTTTAACTAAAGCTCATTGAACAAGCTTTAGTTAAAGCGCCCCTGCTGCCATTCTGAAGCACAGGATGCTGAATACACGAGACGCTGCAGGCACTTTAGTTAGAGTGGCTCTTGGAGCTAGTCTAATTAAAACTCCCACTGCCCCCTCCACAGAGCACATGTAAAGATGTCCCATGATTCCATGTGTGTGGATTAATGAAGTCAGAGAGGCAGAAAACTCTAGGTAATGGGACAGGCAGCATATCTGCCCTCCTAAGCTACTGAGAACTTCTGGGTCTCTGACAAACATGTAAAATTAGAAGTACGGTAAAGCTTGTGGTAGCGTAATAGTCTATCCACGGACCAGGAATTTACCATAGTATTGTACAGATTAGGTAATACTGAGTACAGAGAACAAGGAGAAAACAGGATTTAAAGAAAAAAAAAAGAAGGTCTTATGATTTTGCGAAAAACCTTTTAAAGTTTTTATCTGTAACAGGGTTTTTACTTAATCCATGCTCTGCTGGCCTAGGTTTGGATTACAGATTTGTTGTTGCTGTTAAGTAACACACCTGCAACATGCAATTTTTCTATATTGTTAGATGATTTGCGTATGGTTAAAAATATTTCTCTCTCAAAAGTCTGAATAGCTCAAATTCAAGTTTTCACTATGCCAACATGTCTTGCCTGTAAACTGAAATGATTTGAAACAGATGTGAAACAGGTAGAAGGTGTGAAGTAATTCCAATTGCTTAGTGTGAAAGGAAATAGAAGATAATTAGCTGTTGTCTTTTGGTTGGGAGTGATTTTTTTTCTCAATGCTACAGTTGGTGCAATAGAAGATATAAAATACAAACAAAAATAAAGCAGGTATTCTTGTGGGCGATTAATTCAGTCTAATCTCATAACCTGATTATTTTTAACAGAACGTTTGGGACATTTTCACAGAGAGGATACTCCAAATGAAGCTTTTGTTGACCCATCTTTAACACCTCAAGAGGAACATAACTTCCCTCCTTCTGACTCAAACTTCAACCATACAACACAGAGCAGTTCTTCTAACAGGTGAGATTTGCTGAATGAATCTTGTATAAGCAGCAGTATTTTAACTGTCCTCACTTGACTGCAATAATTTCTTATGAAGTCAAGGGGGGGGGAAAAAAATCACCCACTTCCACAACACTGAGGAGGATGAGGAGCTAGAAAAAGGCAAATATCTGAAGCAGAGATATATAATGTATGTCTTCTTACAGTCTGAGACCCTGGTTATTTTAGATTATTTTGATGGCCTTTTCCTAGGTGTTATCCCCCCAAAAAATGGTGCATTGCTTAGTGGCATAACCTTTGTTCAAGAATTTAAAGTATTTAGGATGAATGGTAAGAAAACATGGCCAACTTTTATTAAACGTGATTGTCTTGTTAGGCTCCTAAATCTAGATCACAACTATCAAAGAGCTGGAGGTTTCGAGGAGTTCAGTCTTGGCTATTTGCACATTATTTCAGCATCTCTGAAAATTAGGCCTCTTATTTAGGTCCTTCAGGCCTCAGTCTTGTGAAGACTAACATGCAAAGACTATGTATAGTGAGCAGTCCCGCTGAAGGGAATGGGACAACTTGTAGCCTTTATCCAGAAAAGCACTTCAATTTATGGTTGAGTCCCTTTGACTTAAGTTTGCCACAAGCATGTGCTTAAGGCAGGTGTGTCAAACATACAGCCTGTGGGCTGGATTCAGCCCCTACAGCCTTGATTGGGGACCAGTGGCAACCAAGCACCTGGTCAAGACTCATGGTACTGGAGCCCCAGCAGCACAGTGGCTTGCTCCCTTGATGGCAGCCAAACAGGCACCCATCATGCCAGGGTGCTTCCTGTGGTACTGCTGGGACACCAGTGCTGCTGCCCTTACCCAGGTGCTTGGCAGCCAAACTGAGGAAACCTACAGCACTGGAGCCCTAGCAGCACCACAGAAAGAAGCCTGGCACCCTATGTATGACCCAGCCCTTGGGGCTGTCCCCAAGGCATTCATTCAGCTCATGGACTGGTCACTCGCTGCTCATCTAGCCCACCAAACCAGATGAGTTTGACATCCCTGGCTTAAAGCTTTACTCACCCAGGAATGTTTTCTTGAATGGGAATACAAAACAAAAATTGAGTTACAAACGTACACAAATCTTTAGGGGATATGAAGTAAAATACAGGTTTCACTGCCTAATATCAGGTGCCCATGTTCAGATTTTAAATAAATAGCAAGGACATTGTTAGAGCACGAGATATCAAAAGTTTAAACAAAGCTAGAGATGGAGGGAGTGTCACAAGGTACCTACATGACCTTGTGCCTAGAAAAGGGTAAAGAACAGCTGCCAATCACCAGGGCAGCTCAGGTGCGGGTTGCTGCAGCAACCAGGTTAGTCAGGTGACCAGAAGGGGGCAGGGCCGGGCCCTTATAAACAGCCAGGCCAGAGCCTGGCTAGCAGTTCCCTTCTGGTAACCTGAGGGGTAAGAGCTCTGCAGGAGAGCTAAGCCGAGCAGTGCAGCCTGAGCACCCAGAGGGCTGCATTATGGTGAAGGTGGAGAGAAGCCTGACCGGGAAGCTTTGGCCAGAGAGCCAGGAGGACCTGGACTTTATGTTATAGCTGGTAGGCTTATGGTTCAGTTGTGTATATCACCGGAGGACTGGGTGAGGCTGTAGGGGTGTGAGGAGGCCTCACAGGAGATCCCCAGTAGTCTGGGGGTTTCCTGGGTGCCCTGTTTGGGCACTGAGCAGCGCCGGGAAGGTGCGGCGGCTTGGCACCAGGGTGGTGCGGTGTGTGGGGTTGAGACCCCAGCCCGTGAGGGCGATACTCAGCCCAGTGAGGGCACAGGGCCCCGAGAAGGGTCAGGGGGCCAGGCACGGCTGCGTGCCACCTGAGCCCCGGCACCAGTGAAAACCCGAGACAGGGCTGGCAGGCTCGGAGAGACCCACGGGCGCGAGTAGTGTGGGGCAGGCTCAGAGAGACCCACGGGCGCGAGTAGCGTGGACACAGGCCCCGGCAAGGGCAAGAGCACGAGAGGCGCGTGGCATAAGGACCCTGAGAAGGGTCAGGGGGCCAGGCACGGCTGTATGCCACCTGAGCCCTGGGTGTGGTTTGGCGCGGACACAGGCCACAGCGAGGGCCAGAGCGCGGGAGGCGCGGACACAGGCCACAGCGAGGGCCAGAGCACGGGAGGCGCGGATAACGCCCGTAGAAGGGCGAGTACACCCGGGAGCCCCAAGAGGGCAGGACCAGCCTGGAGAGGGCGAGGGACCATCCGAGGTCTTATAGACATAAGAACGTCCGGGACAGCTGCAAGGCTTGGGGCGTGCTAAAGGGGAGATAGGAGGCACACATAGCCCATAAGGCTGGGGGTGCACCAAGTCACCCATAGATACGGGGAGATCAAAGGCAGCCTCCCATATTAAACTATAAAAGATCAAAGACGTGGCGGGCGAGGATAAAAGGGTGCTGGATCTCCTAATTGGCACGGCAGGGGGCGCTAGTGGGATCACGGCCGCTCCTAGGCCCCGAGTCATGACAGGGAGGTCACAGAGGAGTGTCGTGTTTTGAGAATACTGAATGTTAATAACAAAATGAAATTTTAATTATTTTTCCCAATAATGCAATGTATTTTGACTGATGTGCAGAAAAGACAGAAGCACAACGACAAAGATGTCCAGACCAAAAAATAAGGTGTGAAAGACAGGACTCCTGATAAGTGCGCATGAGTTCAGCAGAAGATCTTCCAGTCCACCACTAGCCGCTGGTCTGATTCTCTGAACTTAAGCCACTGATCTGTCAATCCACAGAATCACTCTTAAAGGGCTCTTATTTATATTATAGCAAAAGATGGATGTTATGCAGGGGATGCTAAACTCAGTGGAGAGACAGTACGGACTAATGCTTAAATAGAGTGAAATTGCAACGTACCTATTATAAAAGAAAATACACTAGGTCTGGTGCCCAGCATCTCAAAGAACATGTGTACGTATGCTTTGGATATCAGATGCTGACCAAGGGGTGAAACCTTTTCTAGTTATGGAAATTTTCAGCAACAGTATCTGGAAATCAGTGAAAATGAAAATTATAAGATCCCCCGCATGAACAAGATGGTCACCGAAGGCCACTTGTAGACCTTAATTTAATGGCACAATGGGATGTGATCCCTGATCCCAACAATTGTGCATTCTGCTGTACTATACATATATGGCAGGACACAAGATTTTTGGGATCGGGAATAAAGTGTCAGATCCCATCAGCTTTATGGTTGATTTTTCCCATTTTATTCAACCAAATTATTGGCTCGTGTGGCTGTAACAGAGACCCATCCCAGGGGTGGCTGTGATGCTCCTGGAGCCCTCTTGGCCCTTATCAATCTGGCTTTCTTTCGGCAATATCCCCTTCTCCTCACCTGCCACACCTTGATAAAATGATACTTTCCAAAAAGGGATGCTGCCCCCAGGCTCCCCGAGCAAGATTTCACTCCTGTGCACCAGTGTCGCTGCTCATAACATTAAGGGCTAATTATGGGGTCTCCATCCTCCCTAGTATCCACACCCATGCCTTGCAGATGTCACACATGCTAATCGGATCCTAACCTCCCCTACAGGCTACAGGCTTCTGGCCCTGTTCCTCCTTACACCAGCCCCTCTCTGGGCTGTGGGTACTCTAGCCACCTCAGTCTCTGGCTCTGGCCTTTCTAGCCTTCAGTCCTTCTCCTTAGACTCTGGCCCTGCTCCTAGGCCAGTTGAGATCCATGGGCTCTCCAGCCCTACCTGTCTCCAGCTGTGGCCAGTCTTGGCCTTTGGCCCTTTCTGAGCCCTGGCCCCATTCTTAAGCCAGTGACACCTATAGCCACCCTGTAACCAGCTACTTGTTCTCTGGGCCCTCTAGCCCTCCACTGTTTCTCAGATTTCTAGCCCCTGCTCGCTCTCTTTCCCTCTAAGCCAGCTGGGACCTCCTCACCTCCCCATAGTTCCTTCCGCAAACCACGAGTGTTGCTCACCCCAGCTCAGATGTTAACCAGGAACCCTGCTGCCCAGGAACTCCTTTCTCTGTGGCCCTCAGGGCTAGACTCCCTGACCAACTCAGGCGTGGGCTTATATTCTTCAAAACTGGCCCCCTTCTGGTCAGGTGACTCTCTGATTGGCCCCTGCCACAGCTGCAGGGTGGTTCTGACGCAGCCTGCCTTCTCTTACAGTAGCAGGTGCACCAAGCCTCCTGCTACAGTGGCAAGTTACCATTTATTGCATGATTAACAGGTTAATCGCATGATAAATGTAACATTTGCCAGGGGCCTAAGTGACTTAATAATTATATGGTCCTTTTCCTTGTCATTCCTCTTCTACTACCTCTTCCTAAGTTAAATTTACCTAACCTTAGAAGTCCTTTCCTGCAGTGCATGGAAGTGGGTGTGGTGGTACAGTCACACCCTTCTTCTGCCACAGCCTGGCCCTGACTGACCCAGGCTCAGGGGAGGTTCCAGAGCTATTCTTGCCTTACTACAGCCAGCAGCTGCTGCTGTGTGGGGTGCTGGGCTTGACAGGGAACAGTGGCAACAGTGAGCAGGTTTCCTCTTCCTGCCCCTGCTCCATGCTGCTGTCCCACTGTCATCCCTGCTGGCAAGAAGCAGGCACTAAAAGGAGGAACCCATCCTCTCCACCTCCCATCACCCCTGTTCTCAACTGATCCAAGCCCAGGGGAAAGCACCAGAGCCACTTCTGCTTCACTCCAGCTGGGCTGTGCAGGGAGCTGGGCTCCACTGGGAACAGGAGCAGCAGCACACAGGTTCCTCCTTCCAGCACCTGCTCTTGGCCAGAGGGGAACACCACAGTAGGAGGGCCAGGTGGAAGGAGGAACCTGACACTGCTGTCACTGTCCCTCAGTGAGCAACTGCTCCCTGCAGCCTGTGACTGGAGCAGGGTAGGAGCAACTGGGGGCTCCCCCCACACCAGGGTCAGCGGTGTCAGTGGCAGCACCACCACAGGGAAGATTCCTCCCTCTTTGTGCACTTGCTCTTTTCAGTGTTACCTGCTGCTGTGAAGACTCTAGTCATGCCTCACCCCCACCCTGCTGTGGTCTGAGAGATGTTGTGCCACATCCCCTTGTAGTAAATTCCAGATCTGCCCATGGTCCTTTGGCCCTTTATCTATATTGCACAGGACTGCACTTGCATTTCTACTGCATCTGTTGAACTTCCAAATTTATAAATAATAATTAGGACAGCAGAGATTCAGTGATGCTAAATGACAGATTAACAAACAAGAACAAAAGCATACACAGCAGTAAGAAACAAAACAGGTCAACTGTTCTGTAGTGGAAAAGTCATTATTTTCTCCAGTGCTTTCTGGTAAGGAATCACTTCTTGCTTCCGGTTAGTTTGCAGACTTCTTTTTTTGGAGGGAGGGGAGGCAGGAGGGCTGCTTTGTGTTAGAATATTGTTAGGGCAGGAATCATATATCTTGTATTAAACATTAGAATATTATGCAAAGAAGTGCTATTTCTTTTACTCATACAGGCAGGGTGGGCTTTTGTTACATTATTCCCATGCATTAACTGTGCTATTAAGCGGACTGTATCAAGAACAAAACGAGTGTTTCACACCAATTTTTTAATACCCAAAATTATATCTGAGATCTTCAAAGCAATGTTAAGGATGTGGATACAGACTGTGCTTCTAAACTATACTGAACAGTGGCATAACTAGAGGGAGGTGTTAGTAGCAACTGTCTTGGGGACCAGCTTTGGGGAATGGAGGGGAGCAGCTGCAGCTGGTAGCCACATGTTCATGTTCATCATCATGGTAGCAACCAGAAATCACTGCTTCCGCTTTGCCCCAGGCACCCAGCCACAACTCTGCACTGCTGATATTGAGAGTTTGTTGCCTGGTAATATTTTGGATGTGCATGCTGCATTGATATATTCAAAACATTTTAAACATAATAAAGGCACAAGTGGCCATGTTTAATATGATGTTTGTGATATAGAGATTTCTGTTAAATAAGTATTCTAATAAATGGTGTTCATTTAACAAAAGTAAAGTACAGTGACTAGTCCCTGTGTACATCTGATCCAGAAGTGTAAGTAGGCTACCTTTTCTTCTGAAGTTTAATATACCTCATAATCATATCATAGTCAGTTTTCCTGTGACAGCCAATACAGAGTTTAGCTTTACTTCTGTTTCTTGGCTTTCTGGCTAACTCAGGTGGGTCATCAAAAGTTGCTGATCCTCATTCACAGTTCTTTGCGGTCACGGAAACGGCATAAACTACCCTGCTTTACTGAGACTTCGATCACCTTTTGTACATTGGTGAATATAGGATGCGCATACGCAAGATGTGTTAATGTTCATTAGCTTAATTTAATGCGCATTACAGGCACATGTCTAGACCTGCGTGCCCTTAATGCGCATTAAAATGGCAAAATTAGGCTAATCACACCTAATTTTGATACCTGCAAATGCAGGTATCAAATTTAGGTGCAATTAGTTAAAGCGCATTAACGCACATATAGATGCAACCCAGCTGTAACTTTAGTGCCGGGTCTGCTCAGCTACTAGGGGCACATGGCAGGGCTTCAGGGACTTGGCACTAACTTTAGTGCCAAGTCCTTGTACGTATAGACACCTGCCAAAAATTGCTTAATGCACATTAGGTTAATGCACATTAAATATAGTCATGCTTTAATGTACGTGTAGATGCACCCATAAAGAAGGATTCTGACCTCAGGAAAAGCTCTTTCATATTGCTCAAACCCTGTGAATGCAGCTGGTCCTAATCAAGCAGATCCAGTGCCCTGAAGTTTTTTGATTGCCTCCTACTGAGGTACCAAATATAAAAAAAAGTTTCTGACACTCCCTAGTGACTCTTTGGAAGTGCTGAAACTGCATGAGCTCTGCCAACCCTAATTTGAGCTTTAACGTAGCACCCTGTTAAAACTCTTATTGGCTGAGAAGGTAAGTGATTCCTGCTAGAAACTACAAGACAAAGAAGCATTCCTTATTCACAAATACAAATGAACAAAACACTGGGTCTCAAAAATAATTTACAGGCATTTTCTTACTGACAGAGGTTTATTTTCTGCATATGTTTGTGGCCAAAACTACAGCAGACTTTTTTGTCTGTGGAGATTTTTGATAGAGAAAGGAAGGTCCATAAAGAAATGGGCCTAAAGGTCAGGAAAGTTGAACTCTATCCCCAGCTCTGCTAGTCCATGTGACATCATCTTTCTGACCACGATTTTCAAACATGATTAATTACTTCAGATAACTAACATAAAGGGCCTGGTTTCCAGAAAGTAAGCAGATGCTCAGCACTTTCTGAAAAACTGTTTATACCGTCTCAAGTTGGGTATCCAAATCACTAGTCACAATTGAAAATATGACCTAAGTTCTCCCTGCTGTCAAGTGAGAATAACACTTACCCTCCTTGCAAAATCACCTGAATTCTGAATGAGTCATGTGAATTTGTTTTGCAAAGTACACTAAGATGTAAATGCAAAGTGTCATTATTACTATAACCTACTTCCTAGATCACAGATTCCTGTCTGACATTTCCACTGTCCAGGTCATCACATCCTTAAACCACTACCTGTTTCAAAATCTATAATCATGACACATTCTCCCTCTTCTGTAGGCTTGTCATTGTTTGTAAGCTTGATAACCTATGTTTAGCTATTGGCTTTCTCTACTTCTCATGCTGTTTAAAACTGGTCTTTTGATGTTTATGTATTCCACTCAATGAGCTACATTTCAACCTTGTGATTTCATTTCCTATTTATTTCCATATTCTCTCCCTCAAGAAAAGAAATCACCTGTACCATAGATTTGTTGAGGTCCTGTGATGCAAACTGCACAAAATATGATTTTCTGCCTTTGTTAGAGCAGTTAGACTCCATCATACATATTCCTGGGCATAGCTCTTTCATTTCTTACCTCCTCAACCTCACTCAAATAAACTATTGCTATTGACTTTTTTTTCTTCTTCTTTATGTTTCACATTTGATTTTTCTTCTGCCTCATAAAACACTGCATAGATTTTTTTTTTTTAAATAAACCTCAGCTGATATGACAACATGCATCTCATTAGAGGTGATATTTCAAATGTTGGTGTTGCTGTTTACTGCAGTAGGAAGGATTGTTACTCTCTCATTCCACGAATCTAAATGCTCATTTCTACTGTTACCCTTTGAAGTCTTCATTGGATTACAAGCTACAAAGGGCTAAAGCCTGTATCTCTTTTTGTGCCTAAATGGCATATAGACAGTCACAAAACTACAGTTTTTGGCATTTACACAGTTTGGGATTCTATTTAGCGTATGAAGAAATAGGATCACCCTGTATACGTACCTGCTGAAAGTAACATGGAGGAGGAGGGTGACAGCTCTCTCACTGCTTAGCTCAATAGCCTCATGCAGTAATGCAGTCTTTTTAAAATCAAGGCACCCCTCCAAAATTTAGCAGCATCCCATTTAAAAAAACTAGTACAAACATATTATGAATATTCTAATATAAAATTATACTTCTATTATTAATTCATGTGATATTAACTGATTATATACCATTATCATTTTGTTACAGTCACCCCTTCAGGCCATTGGCAGGGAGCGCTTCCCTAGCTGTGCCTGGCCCAACTCTACCATGTTTGCTCCCAGGGCAGCAATGGACTCCCCACACATGGATCCAGGTCACTGATAGAGACAGCACACCACTGAGCTGAAGTATTCTCTTAGTCACCCCAGGGCTAAGTCCCCCCTGAACTCCAGCCCTGGGGCTTTATGGTATACAGTCCAGGGATGCTCCAGGGATGCCTGGCCAGCTGGGATGAGGTGCCTAGCTGCACTTGTAGCATATGAGGAGCACTGAGGGGGTGGAAAGGGTAGAAGGTGGGCAAAAGGCCACACAATGCCCAGGAGGCAGGAAGCAGCAGGCCAAGGGGGTGCTGCAGCTAGTGGAACTGCCCCACATACCTGCTGCAGAACCAGATTGGGAAGCAGTTGTGGCGGAGGGTTGCACCTGCTTGCACTGCATTATGCAGGCAGGTGTGCTGCTTCTGCTTCAGTTCTTCCTGGTTTGGCTCCAGTGTTCCTGCCAAAACACCAAAATGTGCAGTCTTGCACTGCAGTGGCAGGGGGTTGGCATTATAGCAGCCCTCTGGCAGGTTTGTACAGCACGCTTCCCTAACAGTTTGGGCACTTGC